TAACGATGTGTTTGGTCTTCTGGTGAGACCGAGGTTCTTTCGCTTGTGCAATTTCCCCATGGTTGTCGCAAAACAACGGTATAGGGTTCTTGATGCTAGGAACCACTCCAAGCTCAGTAATAAAATTCTTGAGCCACACACCTTCCTTGGCTGCCTCGGCTGCAGCCATGTACTCTGCTTCTGTAGTGGAATCAGCGGTAGTATCTTGCTTGTAACTCTTCTAGGTAACAGCTCTGCCATTCAAACAAAACACATACGCTGCCTGCGACTTGAAGTCATCTCTATCAGTTTGGAATCTGGCATTAGTATATCCAACAATACTGAGCTCTTCTTTTCCGCCATATACCAGGAAGGCATCCTTAGTCCTACGGAAGTATTTAAGGATGTTCTTCACAGCCGTCCAATGGCTTTCGCCAGGGTTGGACTGGTATCTACTCGTGACACTCAGAGCAAAGGCGACATCAGGTCTCGTACATACCATCGCATACATGATAGATCCAATGGCCGACGCATAAGGAACATTTCTGATGCGTTCTACTTCCTTCGGAGTGGAAGCACCCAGAGTCTTGGAAAGACTCGTGCCTTAGGCCATAGGCAAACTTCCTCGTTTCGACTCAGACATGCTGAATCTAGCGAGGACCTTGTCTATGTATGTACTTTGACTGAGACCTAACAGCTTCCGTGATCTATCCCTATAGATCCTTATGCCAAGTGCATAACTGGCATCTCCCAAGTCCTTCATAGAGAAACTTTTACTCAACCACATTTTGACGGTGGTTAAAGTAGGAATATCGTTTCCTATGAGCATATGTCATCAACATACAGAGCAAGGAAGACTACACCACTCCCACTGACCTTCTTGTATACACAAGATTCATCCGAATTTCTTTCAAAACCAAAGGCGATGACAGTTTCGTGAAAGCGGATGTTCCAACTCCGTGAGGCTTGCTTCAATCCGTAGATTGATCGGTGCAACTTGCATACCTTGGTAGATTCTTCAGGGGCGTAAAACCCTTCAGGTTGTGTCATAAAGACATCCTCAAGGATGTTTCCATTAAGGAAAGCCGTTTTGACGTCCATCTGCCAGATTTCGTAATCATGGTATGCTGCGATAGCAAGTAAGATCCAAATGGATTTAATCATGACAACTGGAGAAAAAGTTTCGTCATAGTCGATACCATGTATTTGACGATATCCTTTTGCTACCAATCGTGCCTTGAAGGTTTGCACCTTACCATCCATGTCAGTCTTCTTTTTGAAGACCCATTTGCACCCAATGGGTTTCATCCCTTCGGGTGCATCAACCAAAGTCCATACTTGGTTGGTTTACATGGATTCCATTTCGGACTGCATGGCTTGATGCCATTCCTCAGCCTCGGGACAACTGATTGCCTCGAGGTAGGTCTCCGGCTCATCCTGGTCGATAAGCATTACGTCACCCTCAAAGGTTAGGATGAATCCATACCTTTCAGGTTGTGTGCGTAACCGGTTAGACCTACGGGGTTCTTTTGTATCTTGAGCATTTTGAGGTAAAACGGTTTGTTCCTCTAGCTCATGTTCCAGAATCGGTGCGGTAGTTTCTTCGTCGTCTCGAATTTCTTCGAGCTCTATTTTTCTCCCACTAGTTGCGTTGGAGAAATGAATACCTTCTTATCGATAGGGTGATAGAATGAATACCCTCGAGTTTCCTTTGGGTATCCCACTAAGAAACACTTATCAGACTTGGCGTCAAGCTTGCCATTCGTCATAAGACGTTTGACATAAGCCTCACAGCGCCAAATCTTTAAGTGTGACAGAACCGGGCATTTGCCCATCCATAGCTGGTATGGTGTTCCTTCAACCGCCTTGGTTGGAACTCGGTTAAGAGTATATATTGCAGTGCTCAGCGCATACCCCCAGAATGATTCTGGTAGAGTCGAATGACCCATCATAGAACGAACCATGTCAAGCAGGGTTTGATTCCTCCTTTCAGAGACACCATTCCATTGTGGAGTCCCAGGAGGTGTGAGTTTGGATAAAATCCCATGCTCTCTAAGATAGTCATCGAACTCACCACTTAAGTATTCTCCACCTCGATCGGATCGTAGTGTTTTAATACTTTTGCCAAGTTGTTTTTCAACTTCATTTCTGAATTCTTTGAACATTTCAAAGGATTCTGACTTTTGTTTCATGAGATACACATAGCCATATCTACTGAGGTCATCAGTAAAAGTGATGAAGTATGAATAACCACCTCGTGCAGTTGTATTGAAAGGCCCGCACACATCACTATGAATGAGTGCCAGAAGATCACCAGCTCTTTCACCGTGTCCGGTGAAAGGAGATTTGGTCATCTTACCCAATAAACAAGATTCGCATGTGTCATATGATTCAAGATCAAATGACTC